CCCCCCCCCCCCCCTCCTCCTTACCTCACCCCACCCAGCTCACCCCAAAACAAACAATGCAAACAGACACGGTTATTACTTATTGTAAAAAAACAGTCCAGAATTCAAATGTCTATAATTTAGGTGGCCTTAGTGCAACGGCCATCGAAGCAAAGAGAAATGATACTAAAGAAGAGATCACACCATTTAAGGCAGCTTGAATATCCTTATCACACTGCAAGATTTCAGCTTCCACCCACTCTAGTTGCTCATACTGAGTAAAAACAGAAGTCAAAGTAATTATTACAATGGCAGTGGTAACTACTAACTAGCATATCTAGCACAGTGAAATGCAATTTTTAATGGGAAACATGGAAAGCTAGAAAATACAATTATACCAGATACAGCAATATACGGAGTAGTTATTAGAGTACATAGAGACTCCCATGTTGAAACTGGTGTTTATTTTCTTCAAATCTAATTAATTACTCCCTCCGTCCAAAATAATAGAGCTTCAAATATTTATGTATCCCCTAAAAAGTCTTATTTGATCAAACAAAACTATTTTTTCAAGAGTTGGACAAGTTACATGTCATAAATTTATGTGAACCAACAAATAGAGTATTCATAAAACAAGGATTCATGTTTTTTCATTTAGTTTACATAAATTTTAAAGCTGCATGTTGGACAAATGGAACTGTTTTGGGGAAGAGGTAGCATGTCAAAATATACATAAAAATCATGCACTGTCATCCGACATGCATCCACAAGCTGATGTACGAAAGACAGGTTCATTAAGGTTCAACTACTAAGCCCAGACAACACAAGAAATAAGAAGCACTAAGCAGTTCAATCAGAAAGCAAGTACCAGCTTCTGCCTAAGTCGGTAAAGTAGACTCGAAGCAGCTTGAGGCGGTGGCTTTCCAGGGGTTATGGTAAGGCCTACCCTCCCATGATGTTCAGTTTGTGGTAAAGGACTATCCATTGTAAGTCTGCTTCCTTGCATGCAACAGAAAACAGGTGAGTGGTTGCTGATGTACTTTGTAGCACCAAGCATGTCATTATTACATCCACCATCAATAGGTTTCGATGCATGTTTAGCTGCAACTTCCTGTCAACGTGAATATACAGACATTTTAAAAAGTCATCGAATATCTTGGTCTGACAAGGGTATCTTTTATCAACAATAATCTCAAACTGTATTTGATCTACTCAATGAATCAAATTCGTCTCAAAACTTGCGACATGAGAACTGTAAAAAGAATTGAAGTTCTCTACAAAGCTTTAAATGAAGATACAAAAGTCCATCAGCATAAAAAAGTAACCGAAGAAGATAAACAAGATATACATAGATAAGGATTGGTCAATGCTACAGAGTTTCTGTTGGGTGGGGCCAAACAACGTGCTTGACCATTTGATCAAGCTGTACAAGCTTCTCTGATAGGGATGTGATGTCAAAAGGCATCTCGATTATTGAGCACAAAAATCAGCACAACTCAACCAGGTAGCATCAAATTTGCCCATACATGATATAGAACTACTAGAGCATTTCAAGAAATAATGCCAAGATATTTAAGTGGATTAGTAGGAGTAAGCATGCATCACACATTCACACTCAACACACATTGGCCTCAAATTTTAGAAAAAAACAGAGTGCTAATGAAATACTTGAATAACTTAAGGACTTGACAATGGATTACTTGGTCAGTGAGGACTAATAAACCACAGCCTTAAATATATGGCAAACTAAAGCCCAAAGATATAGTCAAGCAAAACCTTAGAAGACCTACCTCAGTAACAAAATCAGCTGATAAGGCACATCTATGATCCTCTTTTAAAGGTGAGTTTTTCTTTGATCGATGATAAACTTTAACACCACTTTGACTGTTTTGGCTTTCGCTTTCTTTCTTGGAGAAAACTGCATGTGGGTCATGCACATCCATTTGCACAGGTCCATCAACTTGCTCAGAGATATTAACAGTTTGAAATTCCCTACTATCATTCTTTCTTGCTAATTTGTTACTTCTGCTTTCAGGATTGACGGAAAGTGATTTCTCTCCAACGTCATCACGGTTGGAGTTACCACCAACTTGAGGAATCAACTTTCCACAAATTTTCACCACCGTTTGATCATTGGTTGAAGGGAGAAGAATCAAATCCAACTTTTGATTGAGCAAACCATTTGATGGCACTTCCCTGTACCAAAAATTTATTGAAGCACCAAATCAGGAAATTGAACTGAGCAAAATATGCAGGTTTTTTATTGGAGAAATAGTTTAAAGAAAATTGCCCTCTTGTTTCCAAATTGTAGAAAATTTTTTGCAAATTGAAAATACTTCTAAAAAAAGGAAATGACTTGAATATTAGTTCTTATGCTTCATTGTCTAATTCTTTTGCAAATATGCTCAGTCTAGTCATGCTAACACCAAAGAGGATGCTGATTGTGCTTCATAAGGAACACCAATATTGTTCAAATCTAGAGTTTACCTAAATTTGAACTATTTGGGCCAAACCCAGGTCATAAACTTATAAGAGTTTACCAACAAAGTGTGCGTGTTTTAACAAAGCAGAAACAAATCTCTAAGGAACCCAGTGGTGATGAGACACAAGCACCCGACCCCTTTAATGGAGCACATGTAAGTCTAGGAATGGTGTTACGCGAGAGTATGTTGAATTTATATAAAAGCAGCTGTTAAAGATGCCATTTCTACCTAGAGACCCAGTCAGACAAAGCTTCCATGTAAGGTAGCATATGGAAATACTTGACTTGCGGGGTTACCATCCATCCATGCAAGCTCCTCTTGACCAGGGGACCTTGCAAGCTTTTTAAAGAAAAGTCAATCAAATATATTTCATTTTAACTCATTTTTAGTATACTTTGTTGATGAAAGCTTAATAACAAAATTGAAAGTCAACTTAAAATCACATAAAATGAGGGAATAATTCCCATCAGAATGTTTTCACCAGCAATAATGACTAAGCACTAATGAAAGTGTCTTCATATTATGTTAGGTGCACTTCCCTTACTACATCCCTAATGATGCAGAAGAGTTCCCCATGCTACATGAATGATTCATGTTCTTATAAAATCAGAGCAAATGCATATAAGGATGACATTATTCGATTTAGGTAGTGTCCAAAATTGCAGCTGGAAACAATGTTGTCATCTTGGAGAAGGGAATGAATATAATCCAACAAGGATGGGTATAATGAAACCAATATTCCCATTACATAAAGTAGTGCTGGTCAGACAGGGCAACAAAGTATATAAACAGCCAATAGGCTGAAGGTGTCAATAACTAAATGAAATTTTGCATTCTTTTCATGTAATGCATATTAGGATAAACAGTCCCGGGACAAATGAGTTTATTATAATTTTCCAGCACTCGCAGATAAATTTGCCCCAATATGCTTCCCCGTTATATTCAAAGTGTTCAAGAACATTCAAAAGTGGGATCATGAACAAACCTTTGAATGATATCCTTGATATGAACTTGAATGTCATCATTGTTACATTGAGTGCTTTGCATTAGATATAAGCGAGCAGCAGTCTTTGGTTTATTTAAAGAATATACAATATGGCTCTCTAGAACCACTAGATCACTTCTGTTGATGGCTGTTTCACACAAAAATCAAATTGATAAGAGGCATTCCGACACTTGAATTTTGATACTAGATTTCTTCACTATCTCTGTAACATAATGAACAGTAATACTGGGCAAGATGCTTTCAAAATAATTCGTGTGTCAATTTTATGATTTTCACTCGTGAAAGCTCAGGTGAAATATCATGCCACCTAGGAAAGGAAAGATACATACCAGGAAATTGGACAGAAAAAAAAACTAACAAATATAGGATATGCATAGCTTAGGGAGTGCCTGTTCATAACATGACTTTCAGAAACCAAAGCAATTACTTGTTGAGTTGTGACTCATCAAATGCAAGTTTCAATAAATTGAGAACTGATAGACATATAGTTATTTCCAAAATACCTGCCACACTTTCAACAGCAAAAAAAGCCCAATCCAAAAGCCTAGCGTCAGCATTATTATTTTCAGTGCCATTCAATAATACTTCTGCAGCTCCTTTCTGTTTTCTTCCACATTTCAACTCCAGAGGATCATGTGCACCAACACTGGAATCAGAAGAAACCTCCAGATCTTTCTCAATCACAGATATAACCCCATTGGTATCCAATAGCATGCACTTTTCCTTCCCTGAGTTCACTAAGAAGACAGCAACTTTAGACACTGGCCAATCACCTGTAACTGGGACATTTTTTGATGCATCCAGGGCTGAGGATATGTTGCATGCATTGAAAATAGCCTCTTCTGTTTGTGAAAGTTTACTCTCGAAATCATCCATCATAGAACAATCCACTTGATCCATAAGTTTCATGTAAGCCATCAAGCTTGGTTTCAATACAATCGCCAACTTACAAAACGACATGAAGTCAAGGAATGCATGTTCACGATATTGCTTCCTATGAAAATAGTTGTAGAGCAACACTACAGCATGCATCTGTCATATATATAATGAGCAGTACATTAAATCCTTTTTGAAATGTAGCATATAACAACATAAGTAATTATCCAAAGAACCAGGATTTATAAAGCCTTTATACCATTCCAATTACAGCAGAGTAAAGTAACAAATGTAGCTTAAATTCAAGCTCTAATGGAGTTTGGCAAAGAGAAACTCAACTTCAGAGGAAACCCCAGCAATTCATTGAATAATATAGAAATAATTTCCAAAACCTAAGTAAAAACGGAAGGAGAATTTGCCTGTCTGGCAACGGCCTGATGCTGGGAAGGAGTGGGAGCTTGTCCAGTATGAAAGCTGGGTAAGAAAGGCTCGACGAAATGGTCGAGCAAGGCCTGGACCACTTCCTCCGCAGAGCACATATCTTCCATCATCGCCTTCGAAGAAGATGTCAGAGCAGCTGCAATTAACCGGTAGATGTGAAAATCGGAGTCTTATGATTTCGAATCAAAATCGCGTAAAAGCGACGAAACATTACCTGCCGATTCCGGGTGAGCTGAAGTCGGTTCTTGAGCGAATTGCTGCGGCATGCAAGCACCGGAACTTTGCCACTCTCACCCCAAAAAATACTGGCGGGGTTTTGCCATAAAAGGCACTTCTTTTGGGTTTTGGGTGTACATTCGTACCCCATTTTTCCCTCACCTCCTTTTTCACCATCCATTTTTATCTACTTTTTATTTAATTAATTTTTCTAAAAAATTCTTATCCATTTTTGTGGTAATGGAGGGGGTGAGGAATAAATGGAGTACACCATTGTCCATTGGCGTACCCCTGTCAATTTTCTAAAATAAAATGAAAAATGCTAGGGGTACACCAAATAGTGTACCCCATTTGTCCCCCACCCCTTCCATCACCACAAAAAAGACATAAATAAAAATAAAATCAAATTGAGTGATGGAGAAAGGGGTGGGGGATAAATGGGGTACACCAAAGGTGTACTCTAGTATTGCTCCAATTTGATTACATCTAGACCCGATCAATGTGGGCGTGTTCCTTGTTGAGTTTCAATCCATGTTGAGATGTTATCTTATGAATATTCTTATGAAGGATCTCAAGGAGCAATCACCGAAATCGTATGCAGAAGCGGTGGGATTTCCGGAACTGATTGAACTAAATCTGAAATTTGTACAATCGGAAGAGGTGAATGGCATTCAGGTGGCGAAATTTACCAAGGATGATGTTGTGGAACAATCAAGGTACTGGGATTCTGCTATGATACTTTGCGTTTTGGGAGCTAATCCCCCAATAGATGTTATTAAGGGCTTCATAGCAAGAATGTGGAAAATGTATCCCATAGATGAGGTTTCTGTATTGAAAGAAGGACAGTTTATTGTTATGTTCCAAAAAGAAGAAGACAGAGATGAGGTGATAAAGAGAAAGTATTATTACTTTGATAACAAACCAGTATTAGTGCAGAAATGGAAACCGGGGAAGAAGGTAGATATCACAGAACTTAAGGATATCCCCATCTGGATACAACTTCCTGATCTGGATATCAAGTACTGGAGCTTAACAGGACTAAGTAAACTAGGCAGCCTCATTGGAAAGCCTATCAAGAGGGATAAGGCCACTGCTACAAGGATGAAATATGCATATGCAAGGATACAAGTGGAAGTTGGGGTTTACCAGGAATTTCCTAAGACAATCACTTTCATAAATGAAGAGGATAGGGTAATCACC